CCGAGACACTTCGGCCGGCTAAAGAGCCGACACGAGTAAGCGATGTCGCTTTCTCGTTCGAACGGTGCGCGCCGGCTAGCCGTCGCCATTGTGCCTAACCGCTCTTACAGGGCGTGCGCGAGCAAGTTCCTCGCTGCGTAGCGTGTGCGCAGCCTGTCGGCTGCACTGAAATTTGACGCGAGACCATCCACGCTGCCCCTTATACTGCGTGCGAATTACGCTACCTTTCGTTTGTTGAATAAATGAATTGAACTCATCCCTTTGCTGTAGATCATTTTCCTCGATTCCTAGTTGTACATGCGATTACGCGCTTTAGCTTCTCTTTGGCTGTCGCGCTTTGTCACGCGAAAGCCTACGACACTCTCCGCGGGCCAAGTTTCCGACTCGGGAAGGAGGCAACTGAGCTGCTGGACCCAGGACGTTCGGTGCAAGAGTGCTGATCTGCTCTGGAGAGCCATTCATCTACTTTTCCGCGGCTACTTTTATATAGCGTGTCCCGCTCGAGCGAAGCTGAGCAGGAACCCCGTTATAAATCTAAATTTACAAATCTGACATCAAATTCGTAACCAGTGACCCCTAAAACCATGGAAATGAGGTGTAACTTGCAAAAATATTCAATTGTGCAAAAATTTGTTTAAACAAATTGCTTGAATAAAATAAGTTTTGAAAATCTGATATCCGATACGATCAGTGGAATTAAAAACCGTGAAATCTTTCATTTGTTTTTAAAATTCTGTATATAGATGATGTAGAATATTACGTAACTTGAAATGTATGATTGTATGCTGAAGCTGAGATAGGTGAAAACTGAGATAACTGATTTTGTGACATGCTAATCCTTCCGTGTTAGAGATCACGTTTGAGTGGCGGGCTAACGGTTCAATTTTCTGTAAATGCTATTATTTTATTTTCTTCTACTTTATTTATTATAAGAAAAATGAGTTCGAGAAGCCCTTGTGCAAGAAAAATTGATCTATTTTGTTATGTTTGTGGGAAGTTTGAAACAACTTCTTATCGACGATCGATTAATGATTCAATCAAAACTCTATATATGAAATGTTATAAGGTTCCGATCGACAATTTAGATAAGACATGGATACCATCTTCAATTTATAATTCTTGCAGACTTACTATGTTGAAGTAGGATGATAATAGCAGCCATATGACTGTTATTGAACCGACCATCTGGCGTGAGCCCAAGGACCATGAAACTGATTGTTACTTCTGCTTATGTAATACAACGGGTTTCAATAAACAAAATTCAAATAAAATCATCTACCCTGCGGTAGCGAGTGTAACACCAGCCAAAGTAGCAAAAGTAAGTAAACCCGGAAAAGAAGTTGGTTCGGCAAAAGTTGAACCGATGGATATTGATACAACTGAAGATGTCTCTTTTGAAGATAGTTCTGATGACGAGTGTCCTAAGCTTTTTGACCAAAGTTCGTTAGATGATTTTATTCGAGACCTCAATCTTCCAAAGGATAAAGCTGAACTCTGTGCTTCACGATTCCAAGAAAGGAAGCTGTTATTACCTGGAAAAAAGTGTCAATTTACAGAAGCCGAGAAGAGGTGTTCATAAAGTACTTTACAATGGAGGATGTGATGGTGTACTGTAATAACATCGAAGAATTGGTTAACTTGTATATCCAAGATTTGTACAAGCCAGAAAACTGGTGTATCTTCATTGATTCTTCCACACAAAGTCTCAAAGCTGTGTTACTACACAACGGAAATAAGTATGCGGCACTTCCTGTAGGTCACTCAACTGCACTAATAGAATCATACAATAGTTTTCAATTTCTACTGGAAAAAATAAATTATAAGACTCATAATTGGCTTGTTTGTGGTGACTTTCAGATAATAAATCTTATAGTTGGCTTGCAGTCGGGAAATACTAATCATAATTTCCGTGTTTCCTCTGCCTTTAAGATAGCCGTGCAAGAGATAAGCATTGGGTAACAAAAAAATGGCCCACAAGATCAGAATGGAAAATAGGTTCTCATAATGTCGCCTACGTAGGTCTTGTTGATAGAGAGAGAGTATTACTGCCACCACTTCACATCAAATTAGGTTTAATGAAATAGTTTGTGAAAGCCTTGAATAAAGAAGGTAAATGTTTCAATCATTTGAAAGCCACATTTCCGAAATTGAGTGATGCAAAAATTAAGGAAGGCATTTTCGTTCGGCCTGATATACGAAAACTCATGAAAGATGATACATTTATCGAAACCATGACTCTCGTTGCAAAGAATGCTTGGTTGAGCTTCAAAGATGTTACAGAAAAATTTTTAGGCAATAATGGAGACCTACAGTTTGAAACTATTGTGTCCAACATGTTACAGAATTTCCGAAAAATGGGTTGTCTAATGAGCCTTGAAATACACTTCCTTCATTCTCATTTGGACTATTTCCGAGAAAATCTTCGAGCATATAGTGAGGAGATGGGTGAACGATTTCACCAAGACTTTAAACAAAAGGAACAACGCTACCAAGGAAGGTGGGACGAAAAAATGATGGCCGACTACTGCTGGTTATTGAAAAGGGATGATAATAACCCTACTAGTCACAAACATAAATCTCTTCAACGATCGTTGGAAATGAAGCACCAACGTTTTCACAAAAAGAAAGCATAACATCACAAACTTGGCGGTTATAGGTATAAGAATATACATTCTAAAGATTGTCAGCTTCTTAGTGTAACCTCTCTAACTACATTGGAGCTTAGGTTGAAATGCTATGGATTACGGTCCACTTAAATTAATTTGTCCTGTGTTTGACACTCACTGTTCACTGCATTTAGTTTAACCTGTTGTGAGTTTAGCGCTCGCAGATCATAGCGAACGTAACTTCACCTGTAGTGGTCTAGAGCTCAAAGGTTACTGCGCATATAGGTTATACTGTCGTGGATTCTAGTTTGCAAGTTATATCGTACTCAATATACCTGTTGCGGATTATAGCGCGCTTAAATTAACCTGTAGCAGCTTATAGCGAATTTAGGTTAACTTGTCGTGGTTTTAAGCTGAGTGAAGGTTATAGCGCACTTAGGCAATTCTGTCATAGTTTTGAGCTTGCAGGTTATAGCGCACTTAAGTTAATCTGTCGCTGGTTCTAGAGTTATAGGATTTTCAGTGCATTTAGGTCATAACCATCTGCCTTAGCTTGCCCTAAATTTATAGCTGCCATATTAGAGTACATCTAATAAATTCAGCTAGATTCGCCGTAAATTAGTACAATGGTAGACCTTTATATGCCAGTGTAAGTTTTTCCTACTATTTAAGATTGCAAAAAAAATTAAGATTTTTCATACTCTAGTATAAATCAATTGATGAATGGCACATTTCAATTGACGGTATCTCTGCTGGAAAAAGATATAAAAAAATCGGTAATGCATTTTGTCGGCCAAGAGTTGCTCTTTCAGATGCCGTTGTCAGTTTTGCATGAAAAAATTTATTCACAATGTTGTAAGGTACCGAATATAGTCAAAAAACGTGATTTTCGCACATTTAGGTTAGGATATCTCAAAATCCTGACGTGCTGGCGCAATTCTAAGCTCGGATTTGGATTCAGCGCACCAAAATCCTTCGGGTGTACTATGTCTGGTCTCTGGTTCTGAAACCTTGTTGGCCTGTGTTATTCATCGTTATTGGATTGTTTGAAAACCGAGTTGCTAGAGAAACGTCCACGATTGGCCCACAAAAAAGTCCTCTTCCACCATAACAATGCGCCAGCTCACGCCTCAGCAGTTGTGGCCGCAAAACTGATAGAGATAGGGTTCTAACTCGTTTCACATCCCCCCTTTTCTCCAGACTTGGCTCCGTCGGACTACTATTTGTTCCCTAATATGAAAAAATGGATGGCGAGGAAAAGATTTCATTCAAACGAGGAGGTGATTGCAGAAACGAATGCCTATTTTACAGACTTGGACAAATCCTATTATTTGGAAGGGATTAACAAACTAGAGCAGCGTTGGATGAAGTGTATAAGCCTAATAGGAGTCTATGTTGAAAAATAAAAAAGATTTATTAAAAAAAATCAAGCAGTTTTTATTTTTGCACGGACTTTTCAAACGACCCTCGTAGTTTCATCCCTGTACATCGTAGGGCTTGCAACCCCCAATGACAAAACCTGTATGATTAGGTTTCTCTTTTATATAGATTTTTCACATTGTTTTTGTCGAAAAATGGTCATAAATATCGAAGATATTGCTGTAACAGGGTTTTAGGGGTAGCTTTTCATGGTGGTTTCCAGACCCCAAATTCCTTTTCTAGCAGAACAGTATACTTCTCTCATCAATTTTTAAGTATCATAGTAAATGAAAAATCTGCGAAATTGGTGATTGGCAAGTTTTTTTTTCTTTTTCTAAAATTATTTTCTTTTTTTAAAAAGAAAATGTATCTAACATGAAATTATGTATCTCATTTCTTTTGAATCGTAGAAATTGAATAACAAACACTTTAATTATTATCATGGACCAAATAATCAATAAAAATAATTTATTGCTGTAGTTTTGTTGGTTAACTACAGTGATACTAAACCATAAATGCCTAACAGAACTACCGGCGCCTCAGCTGAATCTCCGTAAAATTTACTTATCTTTAAATATTACATATCTTCAAATTTGTTGGTAATAATTTTACACTTGAACTACTAGTTTTGTTTATCGAATACTTATTTTTGAGATATTGTTATTGTTATCATAGAAATTGTTGTTGCTGTCATTACTAGTATTTTTATATGTTTAGTTATTTTACTATTTTATTGACTGTATTGTGACCAGTACTTGTATAAATATTCTATCACTGTATTGGCATCACTGTCAATTATTAAATATTATTAAATGCCAGTTATATACCAGTTGTTATAAAAACATTTTTATCACTCATTGTCAGAATTCTACCTAATGACCTCAATAAAGTTTAACCTAATATAATCTTCCTACTTAACAATTATGAATCCATTTCCATATTACCGATTATCAATATCTAATGTTTTATATTTATAGGATTGCAAACACTATCAACGGGAAGAAATAGAAAATGTCCGTGTAGTAGTTCGAGTTCGACCTATGAATGAAAAGGAGTTAGATGGTCATTGTCAAGATATAATTACACTTGATACTATAAATAATTTCGTCTCTGTGCACAATCCAAATGCTTCTCTAGATGAACCTTTAAAATCTTTTTTTTTCGACGCTGTATTCGACGTAACAGCAACTCAAGTAGATATTTACAATGAAACAGCTAGACCAGTAATTGATAAGGTATTGAATGGATATAATGGTACAATTTTTGCTTATGGACAGACAGGAACAGGAAAAACATTTACTATGTCTGGATATAAATCTTCTCCACAATTGAGGGGTATTATACCCAATTCATTCGCTCATATATTTGGATTCATTGCAAAAGCCCATGAAAATCAAAAGTAAGTTATAACTATTCATATTTTAATTTATATTTTACAAATTTTTTTAAAGACTAGAATTCATAGTAACAAAAGCAAATCAAACACATATCGTACAATATTCTCGTTTGAATCACGTTACATTTCTATATCCAATTACTTAAGTAGTGAAAAAAATTGCTATCAGAATACTGCTTTGTATGCATATCATATTATTTCTTATTGAAAAACGTTGAAAAAAAATATGCATATAATTGCATTACATATGTTTGAAATGTAATGCCAACATGGCTCATAAAGCATAAAAAATGAAAATTAAATTTTCAGCGGACTATATCAGGACTATATGGAGATTGTCGAAGTAATGCAATATTGTGTTTACTCAGAAACTACTGCACAAGATTGTATGAATGCGCCAACGCATTATCGCGATGGAGAAGCCAGTTACGACATGACCAAAAGTGCAGGCGTTTTCGTTTCATTGCTTCTCGCAAAAGTTTCTAAATTTGAACGTAATATTCTTTCTTGATTGTCTAACTTCTCGGTGTATATTCTTGGTGCACAACACCTTCACAATCGAAAAAAGTAATCAACATTGACAACATTAATATTATTTTAATTACACGTGCTTTTCTTGGTCTTGGAGATCCTGAGTGCTTCCACTGTGAAGACTGTTGTTTTATTTCACGATCATAACCCATGATTCGTCACCAGTAATAACTTTTTTAAGCGTAGTATTATCGTTATTTCTATTTCTCAGTTGTCATGAGTGATTTCTAAGTGAAGCTATTTTTTTTCTGCACTGAGTAATTTCGGAATGAACCTCGCACACATGCATGTATTTTGTAAACTTGAGATTAACATATTCCGAATTATAATTTTTTGTATTCCAAGGTCTTCTTCTAGTTTCCGAACAGTCATACGACAATCTTGTCGATCGCAAATCGCATCCGCTCAATATTTTTAAATATTTTTGTCGTCGAAGGTTAGCCAGAACGAAAATCATTATCAATTAAAGTACATCCTCCTTTGAAATGATTATACTACTCTTTGCTCGTACACTTATTCTCAAATGCCTTCTGCATCATCTGAATAGTTTCCGAATTCGTTTTTCCGAGTTGAAAGAAAAATTTAATAGACAGAGTAAAAGGCACAGGACTGTAGATTGAGAGAAATTATGATAGTTGGCAAACTGAATAAACGCGAATTGAAAATGTCTTTATTCCCAGCAATTTGTGGTTTTCTGACGATCTAGTGTAAAGAGTGGAAGGACTGGAAGTGCGAGGAGTGAAACATCTATGATGACGCATACGCCACCAGCCGGTTATCGCCATCAGTAAGCCATCGTCACCACAGAATCACCTGTTTACGTCCATCAACGAGCAGCCATGCCATCAAAGCTGAACAATAGATCTTACCTTAGTCCAAGAGGAAAGAACTGATAACGCAGGTTAACATTTGATTTAGTAGATAAACTATAGAGGCTGCAAATCAGGGTGCTTCAAATTAGTACAGGCCTCAGATAAGTGATCTGAAGTGCGTGAGCTGTCAGATCAACACTCCTATATCAGATGCGAGTCCTCCTCCATCTGAAATGCGTTTTAAATTCATAATAAAATTTATTTATGTAATATAATTCAATTTATGTGTGTGTGTGTGTCAAAATTTATTTACACACACACACGCGCGCATATATATATATTGTTAAGTGACACTTCATTGTGTTATAATTGTATTTTGTCGAATAATATTTCGGACCCGAGATTTCCGTTCGGACATAGTATAGCTAGCAGTATTCGTGTGCGCGACTCGGTAGGAATGTGTGGCAGAGGCTGATTCATGCTGCGTCAGCATGCTGGGACAGCATGCTGCAGTCAGCGTGCTTAGCTAGGTAAGACGAGCCGCTACGAGAAGCGTAAACGTCTAAGGCATATGCGCGAGAGAGAGACGGTTTGCAAGGGACAAAGGCTATATAATAAACCGGCGAAAACAACGCGACAGAGAAATTAGTCAGTTAGGAGCGAGCGCTCAATTAAGAAGCCTGCATTTTTCCTACTGAAGTTAAAACCATAATAAGAGTTTGAGAATATAATTGTTTGAGTTGCGATTAAGTATTAGAAGTGTCGAGTACAATTGTTTTAATAATTTTGTGTAAACGAAAATCATAGGAATTATCATTTTCTTGCGTGTTGCTACGCTATTGGATAAAGAATATATTGGACAACGAAAATCATAGGAATTATCATTTTCTCGCGTGTTGCTAAAGTATTGTATAAAAAATATATTGGACCAATTGATCTGATCAGATTCAAAGAAAAAGTGATTGGCCACATCACGAAGTGAATAATATTTTGGACCAATTTATATTTACAATATTAATACAAAGTGAGTAATACTTTTTATGTAACCAAAAAGAATAGACATCGCGAGGCGAAAATTACGCGTCTGAGAATTTATATATATATATATATATCTCTATTCTGCTTAACTTATTTATGTTGTGAAAGAGACTAGAATAAATATTATAATTATAAACGCCTATAAGTGTATCCATATGCTTCCCCACTATATTAAAGAATATCGCTATTACATTTTTCCTTTTAATAAATAAGCGAAAAACGTTATAAACGTTCAATTATTTATTTTACAAAAACGATATCGAGTGTCGAATTATAATTAACAGGGATTTCATTATTGACGCGCGAACGAGCCGGGGTGCCCGAAAGCCTAACTGCCGCCCGAGTCTAAGGCCGCTCGGCTGTTAAAAAGACCTTCGTACAGGACAAACTCGCCTCGCGCGAGTTGTCACCTATCATATATATATATATACAGGATGTCCAAAAAGTAACGATACACCTGAGAAATTTTCTAAGCCGGTTATTTTTTTAACCGGGTGAAGGTTGTTCTTGAAGTAACTTTTTACGAGGAATCCGATGGTAACCTTGGATTTGACCTTGAACCTCATTTTCAAGGTTATTTTGAGGTCAACCTCATTTTTTTAAATGGAAACCCCTATTTTTTATGGCGGAATCGGAAAGAGCGGAAAATTTTACGTCCAGATATCTATTGAGGTGTGAGGTTGAGGTAACCCCTAGAGGTCAACTGGAGGTCAAAGTATGAATTCTTAAAAATCTCGCGAATTCAGTGGTTAAACAAAACAAACAAAAGGATAACCCCAGGTAACTTTCAACGGTGCTCTTTAATTTGTCCTTGAACCTCATTTTCAAGGTTATTTTGAGGTCAACCTCATTTTTTTAATGGGTACCCCTATTTTTTATGGCGGAATCGAAAAAAGTGAAGACTCTCACGTATGGATGAGTTGAGGTTTGAGGTTAATGTGACCTCTAGGGGTCAGATGAAGGTCGAACTGTGGCTTTGTAATAGTACCGGGATTTTAGTGGTACAAGGAAGCAAATAAAGGTCATTGAAACCCCCATTTTCGACAGCGGCAATCGAAAGAGCGGAAAATTTTACATCCAAATATCTACTTAGATCATAAGTCAAGGGCGAACTTAAAGTTTAAGGTCAGTCAAAGGTCATCCAAACTTAAAGACGCCCTAAAATTTTTTAAAGTTTTTTTCATAATGGAGAAGGGTATTTATTTAGTAATTGCCCATCGGAGATCCGTAACCTTGAATTTAACCTTCAACCTCATTATCAAGGTTTTTTCAAGATCAATTTTTTTTACTTTTAGCGTTACCCAGGAACAACGACGTGGACGTAGTAAAATCTGTCCCCTTGGGGTGCTTTATTTTCGTGAGTTCCCCTCACCTCTCACGATCGGGATGCTTGATTTTCGTGAGTTCCCCTCGCCTATCAACAATGATTTTTTACGCTTATTTTCTTAATAACTTGATTAGCCAGTTAAACTTTTTAAGGTTACTATCCCATACCTATTCATTGAAAATCCACTAACAATTTCACTTGGTTCTATCCTTAGGAAATGTACTATGCCTAACTTTATCGTTTTGAGCTTATTCTTCGGGACAATTGCATTTTCAAAAATTAATATTTAAAAAAGCAACATATTTGAAAAGATTTTACCATTCGAAAATCTCCATAAAGCATTAGTGCATTAGTCGGACTGTAGTAGAACTTTTTTGTAAAAGTACTCAAATTATAATTTTCATTTTTTGAAAACATTTATTTGGGTTGCAAACTTTTTGTTTTTAATTCTGATTGATTTTTGAGTAAATTTCGATTCGCTGACTTAAAATGGAACGCCTCACTGAACGAGAAAGAATATCACTTCTTATGATGAGAGGCTGGGGTGGAGTAGAAAGATCTTACAGGGCAGTGAGAAATCTTTTTAATGAGACATTTCGGGTTAATAGAACTCCAATTGCTGTGTCTACTGTTCAGAATACTATTTCAAGGTTTGTAAATTTTGGCCATGTCAGAAATCTACCTGAGTCAGGCAGACCATGCTCAGCAACAAATGAAGAGAATTTATTAAATGTTCTATTATCATTCACTGAAAATCCACATAATTCCATCCGCAGAGTTACTGAAGAGCATGACATAAGTACATCGTCCGTACATATCATTTTAAAAACAGCAAAATTCCATCCGTTTAAAGTACACCTGGTTCACAAGTTGAATGAAGACGATTTCGATCGTCGTGTTGAGTTTTGTGAAGATATGATGGCACGCATAATTGAAAATCCAAATCTTCCATCAAACATAGTTTTCTCTGATGAAGCAACTTTTCAACTTGACGGAACATTAAATCGACATAATTGCAGGTACTGGGCTGCGGAAAATCCACACTGGATGCGAGAAGATAAATCGCAATATCCGCAGAAGTTGAATGTTTGGGCTGGAATAGTGAATAATCGAATCATAGGGCCATTCTTTATTGATGGTAACTTAAACGCTCAAAATTATGAAGAGATGCTTCGTAATCAAATAGTTCCAGCAATTAGAAAAATAATCGGAGACAACTTCGAAAATACATGGTATCAGCAGGATGGTGCTGCAGCTCACTATGGACGAGACGTTCGAATTTACTTAGATGAGGT